CGCGAAGAAGGGACAGAGGCTCGATCAGACCGTGGAGGGTGCCGTCTCTGTCTCATCTGTCTCACGCGCTCTATTACGAGTGAAGAGAGAACTCCACACACACAGACTGGTCCACGAGAAAACCAGACGTGTGTGAGACGGGTGCCGAGGGAGGGAAGAGAACTGGGGAACAGAGATGAACGAGAACAGCTAAGGGAACGAGTGTGTGTGGGAACCGTGGGTAATGATGCAGAACTCCCACCGACGAGGTCCTCGGCAGCCCGCCGCTCCCATAGCGCTCACATGCTGATTTTTTTCGGTAGGGGATGATGTAAGATTCACCATCCAGAGAAGAGTAAGAAGGCTCGCTCCGGGGACTGCTCACTGTCCTTAGCCTCCTGTGCTCTCAGGGCAGCTAACTGCTACCAGAGCCTTCTCGGAGAGCAAGCAGCCTTAATGACCCTCCTCTCCCCTGGCATAAGAGGCATTCAGGGAAACGCTGCCCTTCATGAAGAACGGGAAAAACCCGGGTGGAAAGGAAGGCTTGGGGAAAACGTACCTGACACAACAACAGAATGCTACCTGTCGAGCATGACGTATATGGTCCTATCTGTGATCTGACTGACACGCAGTGTACATACACTTCGAGAACCATGTCGTACACGGTTAAGACGTACAATGAAGAGGGACCAGCAGATGGCATGTTGGTCAAGGTGTTGGACTCCCACATGGCCAACCACAGCTCGAGGTCTGCACCTAGTGGCTTGCTTTCTCATTCTTTCTCTCTCAGGTCAAATTTTAAAAATAATAATAAATTAATCATTTATATACACACACACACACACACACACAAAATGATTAAATGCAGAAAAGTCTTAAAGATAGAGAAATACTCACTCTATATGCTCAAAAAATATAAACGGTGATAATACTAGGTGCATTAAGACTAAGTAGCTTAAGGGGGACCAGCAATTAGCGTAATGGCTATGTTGCTGGACTCCCACGTAGTCGACCATGGTTCACGTCCTGGACCCGGTGGCTTAAACTCACAACAGGCGCGTGTGCGTGCGTGCCCAAGATCCTGAGAGGAGAATGGAGGAGAAGGGACTACGGGGTGACCATCCCCCCTGGGGGATGATTTCTTGCTTTCTGTCTCTCTGTTTTTTGTTTTTTGTCTCTCTGTCTGGCGAGCAAAAAAAAAAAAAAAAAAAAAAAAAGACTAAGTGGCTTACATCTTCTCTTTTACCCTTTTAGTTATGTGCTTTTTTGTTTTTGTGTTTAGGTTTTTGTCATAGGGCACATGCACTTGCCAGAGAGAGACAGAGACAGAGAGAAAACAAGAAATCGCACCCCGAGGGGATGGTCACAGTACAACCCCTTCGCCTCCTATCAGGATTTGGGGCATGGACACACACAGCTGGTGTTTTTCAAGCCACCAGTCTAAGACTCAAATCATGGAGTCTTAGCCATGTGGGATCCTGCACTTTAACCATCATGCCATCTGAAAATAAATTTTATTTCCTCCAAAGATACACTTACCTGTGTTCAATTCTACAGGTCTAGACCAACTTGCACCTACTAGTTCTAAATGGAGAGGTTGTCCGGTATTTGTCACGGTGGATCCAGGAGTACAGAGCTCTGCAAGTCCCAGCTGGCTGCCTAGCTGAAGGGTGGTCTCAGACTATGGGACTCCGGTGTCTGGCAGGTAGGTAGCTGCAGTGCGGGAGGGACTGCACTCTGCAGCTTGAGTGGGGCCGACCACCTGGTTCTGTGTGTCTCCTTCCTCTCTCTTGGGCGAAAAAAAAAAAAAAAAAAAAAAAGACTAAGTGGCTTACATCTTCTCTTTTACCCTTTTAGTTATGTGCTTTTTTGTTTTTGTGTTTAGGTTTTTGTCATAGGGCACATGCACTTGCCAGAGAGAGACAGAGACAGAGAGAAAACAAGAAATCGCACCCCGAGGGGATGGTCACAGTACAACCCCTTCGCCTCCTATCAGGATTTGGGGCATGGACACACACAGCTGGTGTTTTTCAAGCCACCAGTCTAAGACTCAAATCATGGAGTCTTAGCCATGTGGGATCCTGCACTTTAACCATCATGCCATCTGAAAATAAATTTTATTTCCTCCAAAGATACACTTACCTGTGTTCAATTCTACAGGTCTAGACCAACTTGCACCTACTAGTTCTAAATGGAGAGGTTGTCCGGTATTTGTCACGGTGGATCCAGGAGTACAGAGCTCTGCAAGTCCCAGCTGGCTGCCTAGCTGAAGGGTGGTCTCAGACTATGGGACTCCGGTGTCTGGCAGGTAGGTAGCTGCAGTGCGGGAGGGACTGCACTCTGCAGCTTGAGTGGGGCCGACCACCTGGTTCTGTGTGTCTCCTTCCTCTTATTAAGGTTTCTTTATTGCCAGAGGGCATGTGAGCTCAGCCGCACAGAAAAGGAGAAAACAACCCCCAACGGGGTGTGGTCAGGCTGCAGCCCTTGCTCCATTTCTCACCCTATCAGGGTTTGATAGGCACGCACGTGGGGCTGCCAGGGGCCTGATCCAAGGTCAGCCAGTGGGATCTGGCTCTGGCCCAGCGTTTCTAGCTAACACAATTTTTATTCATAATGGGAGTAACCGGTCAAAGCACCAACCAGATGCTAAGGCAGGGAAGTCCACCTGCCTCAACTCCCGGTGAGAGGGCAGCATGGCCCCACGGCAGAGAAGCCCTCTCCATGCAGACTGCAGCGCAGCAGCAGCAGAGACAGGGCCCACGTGACCCCACCTTTGCAGGTCCAACTTGCTGGGGGCTTCCCTTTCCACTGCACCAAATGAGGGTCCCGGGATACAAAGGAAAGGCCTGTTACTTCCCACATTACAATCAATCGCCCCAACACACTGTCCGGACTGTCCTGCCCTCACCGCCACCCCTCAAGTCACGCAAAACGTTTCCCACGTTCACTTCCAGGTCT